GGGGAGCCATGTGCTTGAAGTTATAGGTTGAATCGTGTCCCCTCCCCGCAAAAAAGATATGCTGAAGTCCTAATCCCCATGCCCCAAAATGTGACTTTATTTAGAAATAAGGTCATTGCAGATATAATTAGTTAAGATGAGGTCATACTAAAGTAGGGTGAACACAATCCATTATGACTGGTGTCCCTCTAAGAAGAGGGCACAAAGGGAGAAGATGGCCATGTGATGATAGAGGCAGAGATTGTAGTGATGCAGCTACAAGCCAAGGAATGCTGAGCACTGCCAGCAAAACTAGAAGCTGGAAGAGGCAGGGACGGATCCTCCCATAGAGCCTTTCAGAGGGAGCATGGCTCTGCTGTCACCTTGATTTGGGCTTCTGGCCTCCAGAACTTGAGACAACAGATTTTAAGTCACTCAGTCTGTTACAGCAGCCCTAGGAAACTAACACAGGTGGGTTTTTAGAAAGGTCCACCCAGTTAGGTTGGAAGGGGAACCCAAGTGGATGAGGCTTAGCCAGTTAGGAGTTCACTGCAATTATTCCCCAAAGAGATGATGGTGGCTTGGACTAGGGTGGTGACAGTGGGGCATGGAGAGAAGATGAAGTTGAGAAATGTTAGGAGGTGACATCCATTGAGAGAGTATGGAAATAGGTCAGCTGTGCTTTTATCTACAGCGTCATAAACACTGAAAAAGCCTCAGACACTTCTGGGAAATTAGTCACCAGCAAGGCAGCTGGGATTGGGCATAAGGAGTGATGACATCTCGGACAGGCCAGTGGGTCAGGAGATGGGTCAGGCCAGTGTGGCTAGAAAGATGACATCACAGAGCTACACAATCAGCAGGTGTGTGGGCTCAGAGTAGAGGAAGTCTGCAAGATTAAGAGGCACACCAGGGATTTGGATTGAAACAGGTGACTGGGGACAGCATCAAATATCTGAGACAGAAGTGTGATCTCAGAGTCCAGGGCCCTTGGCAGTAGCAAAGTCCAAATACACAGCCTGGCCAGACTCGCCAAGTTCCCTGCTCCCTGCTGCTGGGCTTCCCCACTGCAGACATTGCTAGTTGACCCAGGCATCCATTCCTTCCACTCTGGGAAGTCCCTACCAACCGAGTGGAATGCATACACAAATGAAATACTCTTGCAATCCCAGGACAGGGGTGGGATTCAACAGGGGACTCTGAGACCTCTCTGGACACTTGCAGACCTGCACTTGGTCCTTTGATCCTCAAAAGAACGCAGGGAACTTGACAGAGCAGACACTTGAATTACTCCTATTTCCCACAAGAGGAAATTGGGACCCAGAGTTACACAACTAATAAAGGACAGATCTGGGCTCAAATTAAGGTCTTCTACCTCTAAAGCTTCTTTCTACTCTTTCCCCCGAGCAGTTGTGAATTGGTGGCCAAAATAAGGAAGATTACTGAATCAACATTTTTTATTGCAGTAAAATACTCATAACATAAACATTACCATTTTAACCATTTTAAGTGTACAGTTCTGTGGCTTTAAGTACACTCACACTGTTGTGCAACCATCACCACCATCATCTCCAGAACTTTTTCATCCTCCCAAATGGAATCTCTGTCCTCATTAAACATTAACTCCCCCTCCCCCTCCCCCACCCCACCCCCCGGCCCCCACCTTCTACTTTCTGTCTCCATGATTTTGACTCCTCCAGGGACCTCACATTAGTGAAATCACAGACTGTTTGTCCTTCTGTGTGAGTCAACATTTTGACCCCCAGATTGCACACGGTGGAATTCAAGTCAGAATCCTGGTTACACTGTTGATTCAGACATCATGTTTACTGGGTCTCTGTTATCTTTAGTTTCTATCAGAAAAACAGCATGAAAATCTAAAGTGTCTTGGTTTAACCCATATACTGTTTTCATTTAAATGAGCAGATTTTTTAAAATGTCTTTATCTCTGTGGACAGTTGTAAACCTTTCCACAGAAAGAAAGGACTCGGCCAGTTTCTATGGCAACTTAATGTCAGCAACCTAATTTCTTGAGACTTATTTTCAGAAACTGTTTTTTTAAAGGCTGGGCAAGTGGATGCTGGCTGGTAATCTTGTTTTCAAGTTCTTTTTTGCTGTTTTTATATATCTATTCATCAAATAATTTCCGAGTACCTAACTAGGTCAGGCATGTGCTAGGCGTTGGGGCAACATCATGTGGGCAAGACAGAAATGGTGCTGACCTGAGGTTTGGTAATTTAAGAAATGCTGTAGGGACATAGAAAACCAACTTATGGTTACCAAAGGGGAAAGGGGGGGAGGGATAAGTTAGGCATTTGGGATTAACATATACACAATACTATATATGAAATAGATAACCAACAAGGACCTACTGTATAGCACAGGGAACTATACTCAATATTTTATAATAATCTATAAGGGAAAAGAATCTGAAAAAGAATATATATAAAAACTGAATCACTTTGCTATATACCTGAAACTAACACAACATTGTAAGTCAACTATATTTCAATAAAAAATAAAAATAAAAACCTTATAAAATGCAAAAATAATGCTGTAGATGTTCCTGAGAGAAACTTTTCACTGATGACACTAGCAAAAGTACAGAGCAGGGATGGGGGTAGGGAAATATATCTGGGATCAAACTGAAGATGGCTATCCAGGTTGTACCCGCCGGGGAAGAATCTGAGGCCCTTCTCTAAAAAATCACTGAATAATTCTGTTTGCAACATGGGATCAGTTTTGACTTTTAAAAAACTTGAATTCAGCCTCAAAAAAAGAAGGAAATCCTGTCATATGCTACCACACGGATGAAGATTGAGGGCATTTTGCTAAGTGAAAGAAACCAGTCACAGAAAGACAAATACTGCACGATTCCACTTCTAAGGGGCATCTAAAGTAGCCTAACTCTTAGAGACAGAAAGTAGCATGGTGGTCGCCAGGGGCTCGGGGAGGGGAAATGGGGATTTCTTGTTCAATGGGTATAGAGATCGGTTTTGTCAGATGAAAAAGTTCTAGAGATTTGTTGTCCAACCATGTACATGTAGTTAACGCTACTATATGGTGTGTACACTTAAAAATGGGTAAGATGGTAAATTTTATGTTATGTGTTTTTTTACCACAAATTTAAAAAAAGAGTCTAGCACAGTGATGGCCACAGAGACTCTATATATGTTTGCTGAAAGTAAAAACAAACAAACAAACAAACAAACAAAAACAAATCATGAGGTCCCAAGTCCTGGCCTCATATATTTTCTGCAAATTTTACCTATGGGGTTGGGAATGGTTGGTTGTTTTCCTCCTTTTTGCCTTTTTAGTGTGTGCAATTTAAGATATAGCTGAGAGCAACATGGATGCAACTAGAGATTATCATACTAAGTGAAGTCAGAAAGAGAAAGACAAATACCATACGATATCATTTATATGTGGAATCTAAAATATGACACAAATGAACCTATCCACAAAACAGAAACAGGATCACGGACATAGAGAACAGACTTATGGTTGCCAAGGGGGAGGAGGCAGGGGGAGGGATGGAGTGGGAGGTTGGGATGAGCAGATGTAAGCTTTTATACGTAGAATGGATAACCAACGAGGTCCTACCGTATGGCACAGAGAGCTAGATCCAGTATCCTATGATAAACCATGATGGAAAAGAATATTTTTAAAAAGAATGTATGTATGTGTATAACTGAGTCACTTTGCTGTTCAGCAGAAATTAACACAACATTGTAAGTCAACCGTACTTTAATAATAAAAAAAAAAGACATAGTTGAGAAAAACCAAAGTCAAGACTTTTTTGGAAAGTCATCTAACCAGTGCCATCCCCTGGGCTGGACAAGTCCTTCGTATCCATGTGACACTGACTTCGAGTCTGTCAGGCCTAGACTGAGGTCGGCCTCACGTGTCCACAGTTTCAGAGGCTGACCACAGACCTGCCTCTGGCAGCAGCTTCTAACATCTGGGGGGCCTTTTTCAGTTTACAGAGCACCCCCAGATGTGTTTACCTCACTTCAACCACTGTCTCCTCTTTACCAGGCCTCTGGTGCCTTTACACTTTGCCAGCAGGGTTGGTTTGCAGAATCCAAACCTTCCTTAAGGCTTGTTGAGGTTTGTTTTTGAAAATTGGCTGTTCCCACCCACATTCCCTTGAGATATAAATAGAAAAAAAAAGAGGTTTAATTAGTAAAGCAAGACATCTGAGCTACGTCCACCTGATCCTTGAAAAGGAAATCTGAGAGGTTCTTACTATCGCTTTTTCAGTCCTATATAAGGTAGGTCAGTAAGGCAGCAAAACCGCATCTGTTTTTTTTTTTTTTTTTGGCTCTTTCAACTCTTTTCCCTGATTCTTCTTAGAGGAAAATCTAAAACGGTGAGTAGCTGGTGGACCTACCAGACCCCAGACTCTTCTTTCTTACACGCATTCATATTAGGTTGGTGCATGCTGTGCTCAGATTCTCTTTTCCCATGGAGTTGACACATGGATGGATTTTGATCTCTGGTAAATGGGTTTTTTGATGTCTCTGATTCCCATCCTTCAGGACAGATAGCAACCCTTCCATATAAAGTCTGCAAGCAGCCCAAGCTCTATCCTTCCCTAAATGGAATTTGCAACACTGCATTTCTCTGGCTGGTGTGTTAAAATGCTATTGCATTTGTAACATGGTTTACTTCTGAATGGTTTGTAGATGCCTATGTAAGTGGTCGATGATGTAATTATAATTTTTACAAGAAAACAGAATCGAATTGTTCTTCAGGTTGTATTTTTAAATTTCATCTTTAACTCCATTCAGGAGAGGGCACTGAGACACAGGGGACTGGGATCTTCTTGATATTTGGTTTTTATTTGGATATTCTGTCCCAGCTCTTAATACAATACTATGCTTATCACATTTTAAAATTTTTCAACAAATTTGCATTTTCTGTGGGCCTGGGGGTGGGGGGGTTGTGGTCCCCCCAGACGTGCATGTTTCTGCTTGCCATTCACCACATCTTGTTTATTCTGTGTGAACAGGTGGAAAATGAGCATCACAGATGTCCTTAGTGCTGATGACATTGCAGCAGCCCTGCAGGAGTGCCAAGGTAAAGTGGAAACAAGGCAGGGGTGGGTTTCTCTCACGTACCTCTACCTCCCGAAAAGCTACAAAAATTAAAATGTGAACTTTGCTGAAAATTCATGGGATCAGAGAAAAACTTATTAACTAGATAACTACAATGATAAAAATATGAGATCTGAACATACGATCACATTTCTGTAAGGTGAAAGAAACTTACTAAATGTGAAAAAAAGGAATTGGTGGATGCCATGTAGCCTGTTTGAATCCCATGATTGCACTTCTCCCACCAACTAGACCAGTGATGCTGGCATCTTGGATACACAGCCAGTAAAAAGAGCAGGGGGAGGCACAGAGGAGAGGAGGCGAGAGAAGGGGAGACGGACAAAGTCAAGTGGAGAGGGAAAGCTGGGAAGGGGGAAAGGAGATGAGAGCACAAAGCCATCCAGTCTTGGCTGACTCAAAATCTCGGTCCCTGTAGCTCAATGCTATTATGAAAAGTAGTATTTTTAATAACCTATGTTTTCAGCACTTTGGCCCAAAGACAGAATGCAATCCAGTGAGCATCAGAATAACCCATTCTCTGTTCTTCAGACCCGGATACTTTTGAACCCCAAAAATTCTTCCAGACATCGGGCCTCGCCAAGATGTCAGCCAGTCAGGTGAAGGACGTTTTTCGTTTCATAGACAACGACCAGAGTGGGTACCTGGATGAAGAAGAGCTGAAGTAAGCTTTGTCCTAAGCCCGTCTGGCACCCCAACATTGCTAGCTGGGGCTGGGGTGTAGTGGGGGCCAGCCTCCTAAGTATCCTTCAGTGTCCAGCCATGAGCAGATCCTCATGAAAGGGAAGAACATGAGTCGGTGGACCACATATCTACCCACGCAAAACACTAAACATGGGCACCAAAGACTGTGGGTGCAAAAATTCATTAGTCTTAGAGGTTTTCTTGGGCAAACGGACTTATAACAAAATCCTGGAAAGATGTTTTAAAACAAAATGCCCACCGTTAGTCTCTACAATGAAGGAAACCTTTGCCTGCTAAGGTCTTGACTGATCATTGCAACTGTTGGAACAGACGGTTTGCTTCAAGAGGAAGGGGTAAGCATAGAGATGTGCATGGGTTTTCAACACAGTCCCCTCAATCTTTATTATCCTGTAGGTTTTTCCTCCAGAAGTTTGAGAGTGGTGCTAGAGAACTGACCGAGTCAGAAACCAAGTCCTTGATGGCGGCTGCAGATAATGACGGAGACGGGAAAATTGGGGCTGATGGTACGTTCACACCTGTACACGGCATAAGAGACTTTAGCGCAGGCAGCATCCGGGGCAGGGAGCTTAGGCCACGAGATCAGACAGATATGGGTTAAAATCCCCCTTTCTTAACCTTGCTGAGCCTCAGTCTTCTCATCTGCAAAATAGAACTAAAGTGAGGATGCAAATGATGTATGTCAAGACTCTGGCATGATGCCTGGGGATGTACCATAGAAGTTGGTCCCACTGGCCACTGTCTATGAACCAGAAAATACTCTTCACCTGACCAGGATACTAGCTACTTTCCTGGCCAATTATTTGCCAGACACCCTAATGCACCCTGAAAATAATGTAAGGAATCTCCACCAGTGGGATGTGAGTCTCTCTGAATAAGGGAAGGACTGACATTCTCAAGTATGTCACATAGTAAAGGGTCTACTGACTTGAGTAGGAAAGCCTCTTAGCTTTCAAGGGTTTAAACAAATACATTTTATTGGCAGTAGCCCGAAATATTAGAGAACAAATAAATCAACCATCATTTATGCAGTCTTCTGTATGCAGAGCCTTATATTCAAATTTTAGCATAACTGCATGGCTGTAGGATTATGTTTATCTGATTTTGTCATGTTGTTTACATGATTTTCACCTACTTTGTGCATGTCAGCTCAGGAGAACTTACATGTGGTTCTTATGGTGGTACAAATTAAAATGTAAAACTGCTACTTTAGACCCTCATTTTAAAAATCTATTCAAGATGATACCACTATAACTTACTACATGGGACTTAACGCACCTTGTATAGATAGGTCAGAAAAATAACTTAGGTAAGGGAAAGTTGATTTATTTAAACCTAACCATGAAAGACTTCCAAATAAGCAAAGCTTACCGATAAATATAAAGCAAATACCCAGTTTTCAATTTCAGTCTGTAGCATCCACACCTTATTATTATTATCTTTTAGTAATATAAATTTGGGGGGTAAGGTTAGGGTTCAGTAAAGAAAAGTTAGTTCAAAGTCCCGCTCTATTAAATGTTTCCTAAATATGCAATACATAGCTACTTAATAGAAAAAGAAAACCTCCCATTTCTGTCCTGAATTGACCAGACAAAAGGTTGAGTGAGCACAGATTGTGATGGGCCACTATACTGAATTCACTCATTGTCAGAGAGAAATAACTGGGTTGGCAAATTCTAACACAAGGAGCTCTATCGAAAAGCTAAAGATGTTTGTTAGATTAGGCAGGAAGATGGAATGCTGCAGTGTCAGGACCGGTGGGCAGTGACACCTTTTCTTCCTTTTGTGCCCTTGGAGGGGGCCATGCCCATCATCTGACAATCTGCTTCGTTCCCTTTCCTCTTCAGAACTCTCATTGGCCATAGCAAGTCTGTAAAGTACCAAGCCATCCTGGCTGACCCTGTTCTCACCTCTTCTGTTCTAGAATTCCAGGAAATGGTACATTCTTAAAGGGCCCAGACTATGGAGATAGAATCAGCTGGAAGGCCTCCAAAGCCCCAGGAACTGGGACACCCCGCATCCTCCCCCTAATTTATTTATTAATTTCCCCCGAAATGCTTCTGCAATTTGCCCATTGTTTTAGTGAGGTCATAAGACAGTCATCCGTGACTTTTTGGTGGTGGGTATGCCCTGATGACTCCTGTAAGATCCTCAGCAGACAAAAAATGCCTTTTAAAAAATCATCCAATAAAGACACCTTTCTCATCATCTACTGATGTGTGGGTGTGGTTTTTTTTCCTCCGAGAGGTAGAGGGATGAAAGTAGTTTGGAGACCGAAGATTTTAGGAAGAATTCTGGTCTTACCGGGCGTCAGGCTAGGGTTTTCTCAGCGATTTATCTGAGTCTGAAATGCCTATGGAGAGATTTTAGCCAGCAGAAAGTCATGCTTGCTTATGTGTTTTCTCCTACTGGGTGTTAGACTGCCATAAGCGAGATTTAAGTTAAAGCAAATAGTACAAGACAGGAAAAAGTGCCAGGCTACCTTGGCCCTAAAGCTAAGGAGACTTGCTATGCTGGTTGAGACAGGCAGACATATTTTGAAGCTTTTTTTTTTTTTCTTAGAAAAACAAGCTATCAGACACTTGCCGGCTCTGACCCATTCTCCTGTCTCCCCCCTCCCCCTCCCTTTCCCCTCCCCCTTTTCCTCCCCCTCCCTTTCCCCTCCCCCTTTCCCTCCCCCACTCCTCCAGTTCTCCCTACCCCTCTCCACTTTCTCAGCCACTAGTTTCCTGGCTCTTATTTGATACCACCTGAGCCAATTACACCCAGAATTGTCCGAACATTTGAGGCGAGACTCAGGGTCCCATTACAGGACTTTCATTAGGGTGGGGCAATCTCAAGCCAGGAAATTCTCATTAGGCTGATTTCCAGGTGGCAGGTTCAAGCTGTTCTCTTGGGCTGACCCCAGGGTTGAGGACTCCTGGGAGGAAGCAAGGCATCTTCCCGGGAGCTCGTTTAAAAGCTCGCACTTTTTACCCCAACACACAAGTTAACAACGCCCTGGCCTCTCCTGGGTTTGCTGCCATCCTGCTAAGTAGCTTAGCAGCTCTGAACTCCTGTTTTTTGGAGGGTTGTGGCAGAGCAGCTTTTCAAGGTGCGGGACATGTACCACAAGGGGGCCTCAAGATGATTTTAGGGGGACAGGGGTCAACATTGTTAAATTTAATAACCGTGTATTTATTTTAATAAGCATCAGGAAAATAAAAGTAGCACAAACCTGATTTCAATATCGCCCCTTTAGAATGAGGCTATTAGACATTTGAAAGTGTATCGATTTGAAGATTTGAAGAATATTAAGTCACGTTGAAGGGACAAAACCCAAAAAGGTCGTTTTCAGATAAGTCAAACTGGGGAAATCTAGCCTGAAAATGAAGCACTCTTTGGGGAGAGCCAAAGAACGGAGCTGTGTCATTTCACGGCTCTCTTTTCCCCTCTCCCGGTACACACCTGCGCCTTCATGCTCTCCTCATTCCCCGGCCATCTTGGCAGGAATTGGGTTAGTTCCTCCCCACCTCTAGCTTCCCTGGGTGTGTGACAATGTCCCCCACGTACCAGCAGAGGGCTTTCCGGGCCAGTACTGATGACCTAAGAGCCCTGATTCCTAAAACAATCCACATGTTGCCTTCACCGCCGCACCATGTGGATACTCTGATCCTCCTGATATTTCTATTCACTCCGTTGGCCCTCCCCAGCTAGGGGCTCTTCATCCCAACAATTCTGAAGGGGGACACTTTAAATAACTCAGCGTGATCCTGTAGCCCTCTTTCCACGGGGCTCTGGCTACCACATGCCTCGGAGAAACAATGTGAATGAGGATGCTTTTACATAATGGTTATGAGCTTCTAACTGACTAAGCAATCCATCACCCACTGGAGCAGCAAAGGCAGCCTCAGAGCATCTAGGTAATGATCGTGGATTTCTGTTATTTCTTTTCTGTCACTCAGGAGGGGACCTGTATGGGAATAATCACTGGAGGGGTTATTTGGAGCACCCAGGGGACACTGTGTCATTGGATGGTACTGATGTTCTGAATGTCTTGGGGAAATTGCTTAGAGGATGGATGTATACAAAAGGATGACTCGCCACAAATTTTTCATACATAGAATGACGGTCGGTTATTCATGAATTGTGTTCATTCTACTGTTTCAAAAGTACAATTCAAATTATTTTTGCCCATTTCAATTACATCACTTTTTCATTCTTCTAACCCAGTCATAGGAATTTAATTTCAGTCTCTGTCAACAGATAATAAACAGCAATCAAAAGGAGCCATCTCTCTAATATTTAACACCCAAAAACTGTCAGCTGGTATGCGTACATGAAACAATAATCTCGTGTGGTCTTGATTCATACCAATTTTTAATTATGTTGTTTGCAGCTGGGGTGTTTGGGCCAGGGGGTGAGTATTCTACTCTGAATGCAGGTAATAACAGCTCTGGGCATTTGAATGTATCTGTGAATTAGCACTTTTCATTTTGGGGGTTATTTTTCTAAGTTGAAATTTTGTAGAAACATTAGCATTTCCAAATTTTAATGTTAAGTATAATTTGAAAACAAAAATTGTTTTCAAAAATCTCCCTAGTTTTAGTGATCATGTAAATATAGTACAAACAACTAATTTTTAAATGGGTCCTATTCAATATGTGCCTCATGGAAAAAAAAAAGTGAAAGGACATATAGCAAAATGTTAACAGTAGTTATCTCCAGCTGGTAGGATTACAGAACAATGAGACGAGCGTGAAGGCTTTTTCAGTGGGGGAGCATAGTAACTAGAGAAAACAAAAAACAGACATGTAGAATTCACCCAATCAACCCACCTCAAGAAAGCATGTTCTCAGCAGTAGAAGGATGTTATTTTGACTTTGAAACGAGGGCCTAGATTGCCTAACAGGTCACAGAGCTGAAAAACCTGGTGTCTCTTATTTTCCCTAATTGCTAATAAAATAGGGTGGCAACAGTGGCTTTAATTTGGACTATTTTTACTTAACTATAATTTTAGTTTATAGTTTGGTAGTTATAATTTAACGGAACACGATTGGAAAGTCAGCTTCGTGAATGTGCTTAATTGTTGAGGCTAATGAAAATTATTAAAATACTTGAAACGTTATTTAGTATTTTGCTTCAGCCTCTGCACATTATGAAATACGTAAACAATTTTTTAACGTATAGGTTTTCACAGTTCTTTCCAGCTCGAACACAAAGTGTAGCAAAATGGTGAAGATGTGAAATATTTGTCTAGTTGTTCAGGTTTCCAAGCTACATAGTTAATTCCATGTAACGACTGCAGTTTAATTTTGTGTAATGAGTACTCGGGAATCCAATTTCAAGCAAAAACCTATCTTATATCTCTTCTGCTAATGTTAAGGTATGGTATTACTTTGCAAACACTTAAGAAGACAGATGAAATTGGAATCACCGGGATCGTTTCCATCTGGCCTGTTAATTTATTCACTGGAAAGGCTATTCATTTACATAATGTTTTAACTGGTTCCAAAAAGTCGACTTTTTTTGGAAGGGGGTGGATTTTGACATCTTTTTCTTATGGGTTCTACAATGAATGTAGATGGATTCACACCTTAAATTGTAAGGTATTTCAAACATACATCTGAGACTACACAGATATGTAGCAAACAACCGTGTACCTACCGCCTCACTGTATCAAACCTTGGCAGGAACTATGTGGTTGCTCTGTAATATGTCATCTTGCTTAGGCTGCAGGTATCTGGTTAGGGTGGGCCGCAGGAGACATCTTGCCTGGGATTAGGAGGGTGAGAGTGAAGCAGCCATGGTACTGATGCTCCAGAGGTCGGTGCGGGGGTAGCTTACCTGCTGGCTCCCCTCCTTGCTGTGGGGCCCTCCTTCTGCTCCCAGCTCCAGGTGCACTTCCTTCTGTGACAAAGGACACCAGCCTTTCCTGAAGGACATCAGAGTTGGGAGCAGTGAGAGACTGACATGAGTTCCAGTCTGTCCCTAGGGGTTCCAGTTTGTCCTCACTCTCCCCCTCTTTACATCCATCTTCCCTTCCTGACTGTCTGCTCTGAAGATTTCAAGCTTCAGCATCAGATGAAGGCAACAGCTTTATAGAGACTATTGAACCAGACCTCACAAGCTCATAGTACCCATAATACATACATTTATATATATCACTGTATATATTACATGACTACGTAATTGCATAATACCTGTAATTCATATCTAAAAAGTTACATTATATATAATACACATATATATATTTTTTCTAGATGGTTCTCATTCTCCAACTGAACACTGATTTACCAAATTTCCTTCAGGTTTTTCTTTTTTTTTTTTTTTTTTGCGGTACGCGGGCCCCTCACTGCTGTGGCCTCTCCCGGTGCGGAGCACAGGCTCCGGACACGCAAGCTCAGCGGCCATGGCTCACGGGCCCAGCCGCTCCGTGGCACGTGGGATCTTCCCAGACCGGGGCACGAACCCGTGTCCCCTATATCGGCAGGCGGACTCTCAACCACTGTGCCACTAGGGAAGCCCTAGGTTTTTCATTTTTTAATAAAAAGAATCACACATTTTGGAAGATCCTTTACAGGTGATCACAGGAGGAGACGGAGATCGAGGACAATTTTAACTGCAGGAGAGAGATGAACCCTCAGGATGAAGGTCACCTCTGAATGACACAGTCTCTGGGCTCTAAGTCAACAGAGAAAAGATCGATTACTTGACTCATGGGTCTGTTACTTCTGCCAGCAGAGAGGAAGTGGCTCTTTGTACAGGTGGCCTTGGAGGTGTATATCATACCCAGACCTCTAGCCAGCAGTTTCCTCTTGGGGCTCAGTACTGAGATGAGTGTAGGGAGGAGAGAACTCAGTAGAATGTCTGATCAGCCTTTACCCGAGCTCTGTCTGCACAGCATGCAGCAGACAGAACTATGAAGAGGAAAAGTCCGTTTCTCCATTCTCCCTGTTCCTACCTCCATA